TGTATTATATGTAACATAATCCCTGTAATGTAAACAAAATGTACATATGCTTGTATGAATATACGTGGCATATGCATAAAGATTTCCACAAAGAATCACAAGATATTCTCTGTTGCATTTACCTGAATTAAGAAGGGCTGGGGCTGGAGGAAGTGTTGGGGGACTACCACTATAACTGAGAACCTTCCTGTAGTATGGCAGACGTGTGGCTCTGCATTTACCACTTTCAAAAAATGTGCAACGCGGTCAGGTGCAGTGGCTTATGCCTGTAATCCTACCACTTTGGGAGGCCAAGGTGAGAGGATGACTTGAGGCCAGGAGTTTGAGACCAGCCTGGGCAACATAGCAAGATCAGATCTCTACAAATTACAAAACAAAGGTGCAATGCGATTCAGCAGCATGGAGTAATTGCTGACATTTTTTGTTTGTTTTCTTCCCTTTTTATACTTCTCTTCATTAAAAAACAAACATGGGGTGTAGCTATAGGAAAGGAAGAAAACGGGTGGAACGTGATCCTTGTCCAGAAAAGTATTTGACAAGTGATCAAAGAGGAGCCAAAAGCAGAGAACAAGAGGAGAATCACTTCTTAAACAGGCAAGGAGGAAGGAGACAATGACTCAGAATAATTCAGAGTTCCTCCCTTCACACAGCATTGCAAAAGAAATGGCACCTACATTCCACTGGTGAATGCTACAAACCAAATCGTTCTTTCAAAGTCCGTAAGAAATTAGATAGGATCATCTTATCTTGAAGGAAAGAACTTTCGAAGCTTAAAAAAAAAATGTGTGTCCAGATTTCACACCTACTCAATGTCATATCAAAACTGGTGAATCCAAGTGAATAGATACGTGTGTTTGTGTTATACAAAAGCACTTCTACGCACTGACTCAGAAATCCTACTTCTTCCCAGAAGCCTCCTTACATACTTGATCAGATATCCAGACAAAGATTGACTGTGAAGTATGTTCAGTGTAGTGAGAATTTTGAAGTACATCTAAAACTTCTGCTGTTTCAAGCAAGGGCTCCCTGAGTTTTGTTAGGAGCACACGATGGAGACTGTGCAGCCTTGGTCAGTCATCAACGAACCCTGTGACACCCACTGTATGCCTGTGGAGATCCAGGCTCTGGGGACAGGGAATAAGAAGCAGATGTCCTGCAGACTGGCACAGTCACCACCTCAGTGCAGCTGCTCCGTCCCCTGCAGTCCCTTCTCCCAAAGGCTTCATGTCCCCTTGGGCCAGGAGAACAGAGGCACTGCCATCTCCCACTGTCCTCAAAGTCCTGTGCAGGCAGCAGGCCAGGCATGGCACAGTCCCTCCTCAACTCACCAGCAGACTCACCAGGCTCCTCTGGCGACTGTACAGTCACATCTGTTGGCTCTGTTGGCTCCTGACCTTCGATTTCCTGCTCAGAGACCTGGGTTGGATGCAAGAATCTGGTACTCAGGGTCTCTTTGTGGGCATTGTCCTCTGTCCCGTGAAGGGACATGAACTCGTGAAGGACGTGAACACCAGAAAAAGACCTTGGGAAGGCAAACAGCCCACTCAAGGCCACACCCAGGGCTCAGCTTCAAGGTCCCCAGTTGGCAGCTGGACCTGCCATCCCCAATCCCTCCCAATGAGGTCACCCCAGGCAGCTGAGGCTCAGCACATCCAGGACCCACTGCGGAGGTGGGTCAGGTGGGCACCCCATCCCCACGGGGCCAGCTGTGGAGTGATGGTGTCACCCAGGCTGCAGGAAGGACAGGGCTGCAGCACGGCCCGCCAGTCTGTGTGCTGCTCAAAATGGCCATGTGTCCCCCACAGTCAGCCCAGATACCCCAGGCCTCGTCAGAGTCAGGGCAGCTATGAGGACAAGGAATTGTGTCCACCCGGGCTCGCCAGTGGATGGGAAGCAGTTCCTGAACCCATGAAGCCCCCACTTTCTGGAGAAACCAACTTACCCTGTGCACACGTTCGGGGTCCCCTCCACCACCTGGAAGAGAAGGAGTCTCCTTAGCAGGCAGGGAGGGGCCCACACAGCACCCCCCTCCCAGAGGACAGCGGGGCACAGGGGTAGGCTGGGAGCAGGGACACTGGACCAGGAGCCCTGGGGTGGGGACAGGAATAGGGCCTTGCAATTCGGGGACACCCTGAGGAAGGGGGATGAGAAGGGGAACTAGAGTAAAAACCAACATGTGGAAAATCTCTATGTTCTGCTCTTGCCAAAGCTGAATAAATCCCACAACCACTTCTCATCCTGACCCTTGTCACCCAGTTGAGGAGCCGACTGCCCCCTGCCTGGCTGGGCCTGAAGGTGGGAGGAACTGACTTTGCCCTCCTAGACTTGGCTGAGAGATGAGGGGACCCCCAGCCCCGAGAGAGGCGATGAGACCAGGGTCCTGGGGGATACACGGGATGTGGGGATGGGGCAATCACAAGGCGGAAGATCGAGTCAGACTGGAGACACTTGGACCAGGGGCATAGATGGGGATTACTGTCTGTGGGAAGGGAGTGGGAGGGCGAAGGGCAGACAGTGTCCAGCGCCCCCACCCTCAGCCAGCACCTACCTGAGCAGATGCCTTTCAGTGAAGAAATGAGTTTCTTCCAACATGAAATGCAAAAAGCCATAAGCACAATGATGACTAAGACCCCTGCAACGATGAAGATCCACTCAAAGATGGTTAGGACAAAACCGGGAGAGGCAGGAGTCCCCAGGCTGGTGGTCACTGTGTCCTCCGCCGCCACGGTTTTCTCAGTGGAACTGGCAGCTGGTGCAGTGCAGCTGATGTCACTCCAGCGCGTACAATTACTGTCCATGAACTTCCCTATGGGACACCTGGGTACACACAGGGACGGAGACGGGGACTCCTGATGGAAAGCTGGCCAGGTGAGATGAAAGAGGAGCCACCCTCCCTGCCCAATGTCCTTGAGAAGACGTCAGGGGAAGGACAGGCTCCTTGTGTCAGCAGAGGGTCCCCCTATGCTCCCTTCTTGAGGCTGGGGAAGGGTCTGGGCATGCGCACTTCAGCCCCTCGGCCTCCCTGCTCTGGGGTCAGAGCTGCAGCTCCAGGAGCCTTCTGTGCTGGGCACACACAGAGCTTCCCTGGGCTGCAGTGGAGGCTGCGTTAGGAGGAGCCACACTCCAGGGGAAGATCACAAGCCCCTGTGGCCACAAGCTGAGCCCCTTCCTCCAGTTAACCCACAGTACCAGTGAGCCCTCGCCCCACCCTGTCTGC